AACGCGATCGCATGGTTCCTGCAGGCGAAGCTAAAGTATATGTCGGACCCGAATAACATGGACCGCGAGCTGAAGTTTGCTTTTGTCCTTTTTGTGTGGATGATTTTTGTGGGACTTATGGGCGGCGCCTCGTATGTGAACGTGTTCCACAACATTCTTGAGGAGACGCGACTGATGCAGGAGAAGGAGCTGAATGAGGCCATGGTGTTTCTTGCCTCGCGTCAGAAAAAGAGTGGCGATGCGGGAGGGACGCACGCCGAGCGTGGGGAGCAGGAGAGGAACGTGGTGGACGGCGAGTCAAAGGAATTGTGCGAGGCGGCCCACTACATCACGACGGTCTGGAAGGAGAAGCGTGACCTGGCCATGAACATTGGGTCCATATACTCGACAATTGGAATTACTTTGGGTTCACTGCTGGACCTGCTGTTCACGCTGGTGGTGCTCAAGGGAGAAGCGGAAGCGTAGCGTAAGGTTGATAACGGTAATAGCACGGGCTTGGGTAATCAGGCGGAAATAATTGGAAGGGGAGTAGCTACTGGGGGAGATATTTTGTTTTTTTTTATTTGTGAAAACCCACGGGAGGAATTATTAGCGTCCAGACGAGGATGAATAAATGCGGGAGCCGCTTGTGCATCTGTCTTGTTTTTTCACGTGTTGATTGAATGGTTTTATGCGTGAGTGCGCTGGAAGGTGGCGAGAGCGGTTTCCCTTTCTTCTCTGCCGTTCTGCCCCCTGCTACACCAGCTCTCTACAAGGGGGAGCATGTGGTTGTCGCGGCGTTGTCTCGGAGCCAAATTTCTTACTGTTGCATGAGCGTTGGACAGATCTTCTCTGAGGTGTGAGGATGCCGGGTGCCCTGAGCCGAACCGTTTATCTTTTCCCGCAGCCCTTTCTTGCGGAGGTGGGGAGTAGGGCCCTATTCAGGCGCGTGTTTTTATTTCGTTGCCACTATTTTGTTACTTTTATTTTTGTCTAGCCTACTTATATATTTATATATTCGGTCATCAAGGGTGATATTTGCGCCTCCCATGCACGTTGTGGTCGGCGGAGGATATGTTGATGGCCTTCAAAACGCACCCGCACAAGCACACACCACTTAAATGTATTTGTTATGCTTGGAAAGCAAAAGAAGAAAAATAAATAAATAAATAATTGATATGGGACAATAATATTGTGAAGAATTTTTTAACCGTATTTGTTTTGTAAGGGAAACTAGCAAGCAATGGAATTCGAAGAAGAAAGAAAAAAAAAAAAAAAAAAAAAAAAAGAGTTACCGTTGAACGAACATATCTGTTGCGATAATTTTTTTTTTTTTTTCTTTCTGGTTGCCGTTTGATTCTCTGTTGTTTTTGATTGTGTTCATTGTATATAATTATGTATTAATTTTAAAAGCTGTAGATATTATTTGCAATTTTCTCTTCTGAGTGGTTTTTTTTTTTTTTTTTTATTGTGGCTGTTTCAATTGGCTTTCCCACAATGCGGTCAATGTTTTTTTTTTTTATTTATGTCTTTGAGTTAAATTGAGTCATTTTTTAAGTAGTCCACATAAAGGTGGATTTCATTGTTTTCTTCCCATTATTTTATTACATTTCATGATGGTTGTGATGCCCAATTTTTTGTTTTTCTCTTTTTTTCTTCTTTTTTGTGGAGGGGAAGTCTCTGCGTACTTGCCGGTGTGGGAGGCAGACGAAAATGTTCCGGAGCATCTCTCGTCCATTTCTTTTTAATTTTTTTTTATTTGCCAAGTGCCGCGGAATGAGACCGGCATGTTGTTTTTAATGGATGCTGCGCTTTTTGTTCTTGTTGGGCCCGACCTTACTTTTTTTTTTTTTTAATTTATTTTTTCTCTGTCGACGGTGTTTTGACGCATACCGCGTAAAGCAAAGAGTCTCACGCATGAGTGTTGTGCCGGGGGTGAGGGGGACCGGCGTCGAGGAGACGAGGGAGCCTTCTTTTTTGCAGGAGCTCGGTGAAGTGCCGAGGTGTACCGCGGCAGCGCCGGCCCGACTCCGAGGAGACCCGTGGCGGTACTTGGTGGGAATAACCTTCTGCCTTCTATCCATATCGAATGCCATGCAATGGATTACATTCGGCGCCATTGTGGATGAGGTTCGCCTGTACTTCAACATGAGTTCTGTGCAGGTGAACCATCTTGCCACCACGTACGTCATTGCGTACGTATCTATTGTGTTCTTAAGCTGCAAACTCTACGAGTTAACGGGGCTGAAGGTTGGAATTGTGATTGCAGCTGCGGCGAATACCATTGGATCTTCACTTAAACTTGTCGCGGTTTACGCATGGCCTAACATGACCCTGCTATACATGGCGCAGGTGCTGAATTCCATTACGGAAGTCCTCACAATTGCCACCCCGCCACTCATTGCGAATCGTTGGTTTCCGGAAGGCCAGCGCATGATCGCCAACACCGTTTTGAGTAGTGCACTCAACTTGGGCTGTGGTGTAGGTGTGTTGGTTCCAACTTTCTTCGTAACGCCGGAGAAGCAGGAGCGTAAACACTTTGCAAACCTTTTTTGGTTTCAGTTTTCATTGTGCGCGTGCGTGCTGCTAATGGCGATCTTTTTTGTCCCGTCTCGCCCGCGCTACATGGCAAGCTATGCCGCAGCACGACAACAGAGGGGCGAGGAAAAACGCTTGAAGGCTGTTCGGGACATTTTTAAAGGTCACATAGGCCAGAGTGACGGCGAGCTGGAACAACACGAGCATGAACAGCAACAAGATTCCGAACAACCACCACCACAACAACAACAACATCAGGGGCCTGAGGAAGAGGGAGACACTTATCTCACGGATGAAAATGATGAGCAGGAAGTGCAGCCAATCAACGTGTTTTCTACCATCATGGATTCGCTCCGCATGCTGAAGAAGAATCCCTCCTTTGCATTTCTTATGATTGCCAGCGCGGCTGAACTTGGTCTTATATGGGCTGTCGCTACTGTACTGCCTCAGTGTTTAAGTCCATTTGGCGTCTCAGAAGTAGAGAGTGGGTGGATTAGCTTTTTGAATCTTGTCTTTGGTACTATTGTTGCACCATTTTTTACGCATTTTGTTGAACGTAAGCGTCAGTATAAAACCGTACTTGTCTTCATTGCTATGCTCCTTACTATTAACATGTCCATATTTGTTTTCATGCTGGTGTTTGGTCCATCTCCGCATGAAAATCGAACGTACTATGTCGTTGCGGCATTTATTCTCTGGGGCGGCGTGGCTGGCCTCTGTCAGAATTTTATTATGCCACTTATGTTTGAGTTTGTTATTGAGCTCACGTTCCCAATGGCGGAGTCAACAAGTGCGCCTACACTGATGTGGGCAGCATGCTTATCAAATTTGATTTTAACGGTTGTGTTTGGTGAAGTACTTGGGGAACATCCAACACGAGGTGAGGCGCTCAATGTTTTTATGGGGGCAACACTTGTGTGTTTTTTTGGTGGTCTTGCACTTTTGTTGGTGTACCCGTACGGACGACGGCGTGAGTATGAGCTTCTCATGAAGGAGAGAGACGAAACCCAGCAGTTTTCACCACCGTTGCAGGAGTAAAAAAAAAAAGGAAAAAAAAGGAAAAATGGAAGCGTGGCTGTGAAGGACTCTTTTAACAAAAGAAGAATGAAGTACCTGAATACATATGACGTTGGTTTTGTTTCTTTGATTGTTGCGGTTCACAAAATATAGGAAGATGATTTTTTTAAGTGGACATTTTTTTTTTTTTTTCTCTTTCTTTGTTTGTTTGTTTTGTTTTGTTTTCTATTTTTCTTACACAAAAAAAAGTTGTCTGAGAACTGTGCGCATATAAACATATGTATTTATTTATGCCATGAAAAACTTATGATGCAGAAAAATATATTGTTTGGTAAATTTGTGAAAATATAAAGGGAGGAAATGAAACAAAGTCACATGTGTGGTATAATATAAAATTGTAAATAAATAAATATACAAATATATGCGTTTATTAATATATTCATTTATGGATACTCCCCGTAGATGCACAACGAGAACAAAACCCCTTTATAATGAATAAAACAACTCTTCCAGGGAAGGGAGGGAGTGGGCAATATTTTATTAGTTCCGGAGATGCTGTGGAACATAAAATTGCCGGAGATATTATGGACGTCAAGGATATGGAAAATCGGTGTTTGATATAGCACGAAGTTCCAATACGACATGCAATTCGATTTGGCTTTTGTGCTTTTTCTTTCTGCTGTCGCTTTTATCCTTCTTTCCTTTGAGTTGTTTTTTTTTTTTTAATTCTTTTAGTTTTTTCAGCTTTTCTCTCGTGCAGGATACAAATCATGTCTTTTTCCTTTCTGCTGTATGTGGTGCGTGCGTGTGGGTGGGTGGGGTGGAGATGTTTCTGTTGGACGTGACGCTCTAAATGGTTTTGTGTGTATTTGCGGTTCTCTTTTATTCATTTATTTATTATTATTTATTTTTTTTTTTGTGTGTGTTTGTCTTTTATTTCTTTTTTTCGCTTTAATTTTCCTCTCTCACTGAAGGCAGCAACGGGCACAAGAGGTCACTCCCCTGGGCAGTGGGCGAAGGCGAAGTATCGTATGCCCCACGTATTATTTTCTTCCCTTCCCCGCGTGGCGGTGGATGCGCTGCGATACGAGGAGCAAGAAAAGGACGAAGAGGGTACGGAGTTGATCGCTCACAACAACGACATGGACTTCTTTATGGACGACTACGTTTCGTTGGATGTGGCGAAAGCAAACGCCACCGCCGCCAGCAAATTTGTTGAGGACGAAGAGGCAATGATCCCACCAAGAAGTATGGCGCAGCCCAAGCACTCTTGTGAGAAGAATGAAGGTGTTTTTGCTGTCGATTGTGACGTCTGTCTGCAGCTCTCTGGAGCGGCTGGCGAGGGATGTGGAGGGAGATTTATCATTCGTGTTCCAGCGGCTTTGCCAGTATCTAATCCCTCCATTTCCGTTACTCCATGCCCCGTTAATGAAACCACAGCACGCCAAATGAAGCCGATGTGTGGCAAAGATACAATGGTTGCTGTAGAGGAGGTACCTGTACTTGACGCTGGTGCTGCTTGGACAGTACGCGGTGAAGGATATATGAATGGTGAGGTGTCAGAAGAAGAGGATGGGGCTGCGTTCTGCTCTTCTTGCTATGCAGTCAACAGTTATGCTCAGCACGGATCAATAATACCAAAAACAATATTGATGCCAAGCAATAATTGTGAACATTTAATAAATGCAGGCAATGTTACGATTACTGTTTCTGCTGAAGAACAAAAACAAGCCAGAGGAGGGGAATGTGTCGTGGTACATGCCATGAAACTTCCTCTAAACTTTGTTCTTGGCTTACGGTTATCCTTTGAGCTGGAACGAGCTCTTGTGAAATATTATCAAGAGAACAGGACATCATCATCAGCACCTCCTCCTGTATGGCTTTCTGCCTTTTTGTATACGACGGCTCTGCGCTCTGAGGCCTTCACGAGCCCAATTTCCACCTTATCTCCCTCGATTTTTCAAGAGTGGTTAGGGGAATCAACTGCAGTGGCGACACTAGAGGGCTTTTGTATTGTGGCCCTCAATATAATTGCTCAAATGGGACATTTGCGCCGACAAAAGTTACAAGAAACGGACGATATTGACGAAACAACGATGGCACAGAGGGGTTTATTGCACGGCAATCAGCTGTTTTCTGCTTCACAGAAGGAACGTGTACGGTGTTGGCTGCAACGTTATATTCCATTGGAGGCCTATGACGGAAGCGAGGAGAGTGAGACAACTCTCCGAAGGCCACCTGGGTGTTTTTTATGGCCTTCCGCTGTGACAGTTGTTTTTCATATAGCACTGGACTTGGCCAAATTTTTGTTCCCTTCGTTGTTATTGAATCTGGAGTCTACAATCCTGGCTGCCCTGCAGCCACTTCTGGAAGCACGCACTCTGGAGTCGATGTCGACTCCCTTTCTGTATGTGTCGTCTCCTGTTTTTTCTCCCTGCACCCCGTCACTGCGGTGGCCACAGAGCCGCAGACAGGCTTTGTTTTTGTTAACGCAATTGCCTTCCGCATGGTGGAGTTGGTGGCGTCGAAACAAAAATGATGAAAGGAGCAATAACGACTGCGGTATCAGCGCCATTTGCGCGTCAAGGGGGTACGCTGCTCTTCGAGTTTTGCAGTGCTTCACATGCAGTTGCTTGCAGTCCACCCCTGATGAGTCCTGTCATCTCGTGGAGGGCGACGACGAAGAAGAGTGTGAATTGGCACAATTTCTTCTTTCAGCAGAAGCGTTATTTGCAGAACTTCTTTTGGATCGTGAGGTAGCAAACGTAATTGAACGCACCATAAAGGGAATCACCTGGCTTTACCACATTTCATTGGAAAGGCTTAAGAGCAGGGACGCTGTAACCTTGCCCTTACAGACAACACGTGCCTCGATGCGTTATCTTCTTGTACTTGTCTGTTGGTTGACTTTCCGCCCCAAAGGTTATTGCACGACACTGGCCCAACATCATTTTGGTTCGCTGTTGCGCCTTGCCGCCATGCATCACGAACGGTGCCAGTCAGAGCATCTTTTTAATATGGAGTTGGAGGAAGAGGGAGAGACAATGGATCGCGAACAGTTGTTGTTAAGGGTTTGCAGTCGCGAATACTTCCTGTTACTCTCCAATTTGCTTTGCCATCTACGTGACCGATGTGGAACGCGACGGCACAGAGGAGATTACGCAACCGCACCACGGGAAAATCCATGGCAACAGCTGCGTCAAGGTAAGATGTCCAGCCGGTTATTTGCGAATGATGAAGACGGGACGACAAACACCTCCCACAGCCATCCCTCCGTGGCTTCTTTTAGCACCACGAATGCCGCGACAGAATCTCTCCTTGCACCTCAGCCGCCAACGGCGCGACGCACCGCAATTCTGCATAACGATGCCCTTCCGTCCCATTCACTTTATACTCTTCGGCGTGTTATTCGTGCAATGTGCCACGTTATTCGTCGACTTGAACGGGACGTGCTTGAGGAGTGTGACACGTCGGCATTAACTTCTCTTGGTACCAAAAGAATGCGCAATTTGGAAGAAAACGTTTTTTCAAATTTGCGAGTTTCCGTTCGTGAACTGAAATTTGGCGTAACGCCTTATTTTGCGCGCCATTTATGCAGCCAGCCAAACGGCCGTTTCTGGGAGTGGCACCTGGAAATCAGTGAGTCCAGTGACGAAGATGCAACAGACACTTCCGCCAGCGGAAGCGGATGACAGAGAAAGACATATACACAGAAAACCGAAAAATACCGGGAAGAGTTGAAAGCAGATTATTATTATGACTTTAGGCACATGAAGAGCCGCCCCAAAAATACAAGATCATTGGTGAAAAATTGAAATATAAATAAATAAATATATATATATATTTATGCATTTCTAAAGCCTTTTGTGGATTTGACTTCTTCTGCTGCACAGAACCATTTTTTTTTTTTTTTTGGATTGTAACAGGCCCGGCTGTGTTTTTTCTTTTTTTACCATTTATTTTATTTTATTTTTTTGAATGTTGTTTTTTGCTGGTTTTTTTTTTTTTTTTGCCTCGTTTCTTTATTATTTTCTTTTTTTGCATGTTTTTTTGCACCCCCGTCTCATACCAACAGAATGGGAAGGGAATTTTCATCGGTGCGCGTGATTTTAGTTGTGGTTTGCGTGATTCTCCGACCGCAAATGTTGTTGTTGTTTGTTTCTTTACGGGTGACGTTGTTGTCATCGCTTCTTTTCTGTTCTATTTCTGCTGATATTTTAAATTTGCCAATGTTTTCCGTGAGGGGCCATGGCCGATAAGGTTGAAGCGAACGACACGCTGGCGTGCACCTACGCCGCCCTCATGCTTAGCGACGCGGGTCTGCCCATCACGGCGGAGGGCATTGAGGCCGCGTGTGTGGCTGCCGGTCTGAAGGTGCGCAACACCCTGCCCGTTATTTTTGCTCGCTTTCTCGAAAAGAAGCCGCTGGAGAGTCTCTTTGCTGCTGCCGCTGCTACGGCTCCTGCAGAGGGCGCCGCTGCTGTTCCTGCCGCTGGCAGTGCCGCCCCTGCTGCCGCTGCTGCCGCTGCTGCGCCAGCAAAGGACACAAAGGAGGAGGAAGAAGACGACGATATGGGTTTTGGCTTGTTTGACTAGGCGTGTGTCTGTGTGCTTAAGGAGCAAAAAAAAAAAAAAAACTTTGGACGCCGATTTGCACTCGTTTTTATGTTTGAATTGTAATTTATTTATTTATTTTGCAATTTTAAAACCACCCAGTGTAATTTGGGGTGAGATGCTCCCGTCTGTTGGTTGCATGACACCTTGATGAATTTCTAAATTTTAGTTATATATTTGTCTCCTTGTTTGTGATAACTTTTTTATCGCGTTTTGCTCCACACTTCGGCAGATCTCATACGTGCGCTCACTCAAGAAAGGGAATTATGGCCGATAAGGTTGAAGCGAACGACACGCTGGCGTGCACCTACGCCGCCCTCATGCTTAGCGACGCGGGTCTGCCCATCACGGCGGAGGGCATTGAGGCCGCGTGTGTGGCTGCCGGTCTGAAGGTGCGCAACACCCTG